AAATCAATGATAGAGTGAAGATTGCTCTCGCAACCATTCTTTTTACAGATTAAGATAAGCACACACACACACACACACACACACACACACACACACACACACACACACACACACACACACACACACACACACACACACACACACACACACACACACGTACGTTAAATGAGTTTGCATCGTTGCATCAAACATTTATCATCAGGTGCATTAAAGACATTTTTTCCTCTCTTGAGGACAAATTCAATAAAACATCAAATAAATTTCATCTTGGCATCCATCATAACATCCAAGATAGTCAGTCAAAAATGAATCATTTTGATCTCTCAGGAAATCAAAGCTCGGAAATGACCATATGTCCTCAACATAAAAGAACAATGACATTCACAGGTGTGACTTCCTGAAGTCAACAATTAAGACATTTCCTTCATCAGCAGGAACAAACAGACTATCAGTATCCTTTGATGTTGTTTCTATCGAAACAAAATGTCGTCTCGCTAGAGACAGTTTCGTTTGAAAAACAAATTTTGTCTCGCTTGAGACAATTTTCTAAAAAAACAAATGTTGTCTCGCTTGAGACAATTTCTCTAAAAAAACAAATTCTATCTCGCTTGATACATTTTTCAGCAAATTTTGAGAATTTTAAAACAAATTTTTGTCTCGTTTGAGATAATTTTTCTCAAGACAAATTTCGTCTCGCTTGAGACATTTTTTTCTTCTCTGAGATACAAATTTAAATCTGTGGTACTTGAAACGAAACTAACCTCACTTGAGATTTTCAAAAACTGGTTCATCTCGCGTGAGACAGTTTCCCCTTTAAACACAAATCCTAAAATTGTTTCTTTTGAAACAAAACAAACACCTTTGAGATTATTTCCATGTAAACAAAATTGACAATCTTTGAATTTCTTTCTATTGAAACAATTTTTGTCTCTTGAGACAGTTTCTCTTGAAACAAATCTTTGAGTATGTTCCTTTTGAATAAAAATATTTGAGTTGTTTACTTTGAGAAGAAAATCATTGAGTCTGTTACTTTTGAAACAAAATTTTGTCTTTCTTGAGACAATTTCGTAAAAATCTTTGAGTCTATTTCTTTTGAAACAAAATTTTGTCTCTCTTGAGACAATTTTGTGAAAAAATCTTTGAGTTGTTTCTTTTGGAAAAAAAAATCTTTGAGTCTGTTTCTTTGGAAACAAAATTTTGTTTCTCTTGAGACAATTTCTTTTGAGAAAAATCTTTGAGTCTTTGGTAACAAAATTTACCATCTTTAAGTCTGTTTCCCTTGAAACAAAACAAACATCTTTGAGATCGTTTCCCTTGAAACGAATTTTGTCTCTTTCGAGACAGTTGTTTTTGAAACACTTATCTTTGAGTCTGTTTCACTTGAAATAAAGCAAATATCTTTGAGATCGTTTCCCTTGAAACGAATTGTCTCCCTTGATACAATTTCTATCAAAGTCCAATCTTTGAGTCTGTTTCTATTGAAACACATTTTTGAGTTGGTTTCCCTTGAAACCATCATCCTTAAAGATGGCCAGCCATCCTCATCATGTAGGAACCGTGTCATCCCCTGACTAGACCTCTTCATCACGTAGGAGTCGTGTCAACCATAGATAACTAGTCATCCTCATCACGTAGGAACCGAGTTATCACCACTCCTAAAGATGGCCAGCTGTCCTCATCACGTAGGAATCGTGTCATCCCCGACCAGGTCTCCTCATCACGTAGGAGCCGTATCACCCTTAGATAACCAGTTTTCCTCATCACGTAGGAACTGAGTTATCACCCTACCTAAAGATGGCCACGAACTCTTCATCACGTATGAGCAGTGTCATCCCCGACCAGATCTCCTCATCAAGTAGGAGTCGTGTCTCCTTTAGTCGACCAGACCTTTTCATCACGTATGAGTAGTGTCGTCCCCAGCAACCAACATTATCCAATTTCTAGGCAAAAGAAAGAGAACCAGACAAAAACGTGTTGTCTTATCGTCTTTGCCATATTCTTGTTAACACAAGAATGTGCAAAGAGGGGCAGCTGTAGACACCCATTTTTGTCCGGATCTTTTTTTTAATTATTATTTTATTTTATTAGTATTAGTATTATTATTATTAGTAATATTATTATTATTAATTTACATGTTACATTTTGTTGCAGGCCACCAATGAGGCCTAATCCCGGAGCCCAATACAACTCAACAGCCTAACAAGTTCAAACCCATTGGAGCCCGACCCGGTTCAGACTTGAATCGGCCCAACTAAACCCTAACCCTAGTTCTGAGCCCTAGCTTCTGCCGCCGCCTGTATCCTCTGCTGCCGCCGACTACTCCCATCTGCACCAACAATGACTCAATCAATCAATACAGAGAACAAATCTCATCAAATCCAAGAGTTATCAGTATTAATATAGGGATATCATTCCCTACGAACTGAAGTATCTCTCAAATCCATCAAATAACAGAGAAAGATGAGAGAATAGAGAAGATAAAAAGAAAGCAAAGAGATTTGAAGGGAAAGCATTCGGGTTGAGGGGAAGGTGATAACCAGAAGAAAAAAAAAGAACTCAAGAGAGAAAAAAACCGAAAACAAAAAAACCAAAGGGAATCCGCTCGAACCCTAGTACACAACACAGAGAAACAGAAAATCATAAAGCTACAAGGGAGAAATAGAAACATACCTTGGTTCGGGGCTGTGGAAACCCAAAGGTCGACGTGTTTTAGATTTGATTCGAAAGGTAATCCATAGATCTAGGGATTTAAAGGGCTTTTTAGGTTAAGTGGACTTGGGATTCGGGTTGTGGGGAGAGAAAGAATAGTTTGGGGGTCTTTTGGCTTTCTCCGACAGTCGTGAGCCGCCGTGAGCACCGCCACCGGCGGCTGACTTTTCATCCCCGATGAGGGGATTTTGAGAGAGTTTTAAACTCTCTATCTCTCTTGATTTTCTTCTGAAACGAGAGAAATGGATGGGAGATGAGAGGAAGGCCTGGTTTTAGGCTTAAGTATCCCCTACGAAACGACGTAGTTTCGAGGGGGACCAGTTTGTAATTTCAATGTGTGGGTTAATTACACGTTTAATTCCCCGTGCTTTGTAATCTTTTGGTTTTGTAATCTTTATTCTATTTTAAGCACTTATTTTTCTATATTTATTTTTTAGTCCTATTATTATGTGTTATATTATTTTTGTTAATGTTTGACTTTGGGAACTATATTTTTAATTATTTCATTTTTGTCACTGATATGGTGTTTTGTGTAATTTTGTGGATGTTGGAATTTGGCCATAATATTTGTAACTTTATTATTTTAGTCATTGTTTTCATAAGTTCTGATATTTCCTTTGATGTTTGAAGTTGGCCATAATATTTGTAAATCCTTCATTTTAATCCCTGATTTAATATTTTGTATATTTTCCTGGGTGTTCGAATTTGGTTATGATATTTATAAATCTTTTATTTTAGTCATTGTTTAACATTTTGGTTTAATTATTGTTTAGTCCTCCATGTTTATTGTTTATTTTAGTCTATAAATATAATTTATGGGTTATTTTCGTTTCTAATACCTAAGTTATTTAATACTTGCAATTTGAGGCTTTGAGTTGTTTATATTTGTTTATTAGTCCCTAAAGTTTCTATTTTTTATTTTAGCCCCTAGGTTTTCTATTTTTGTTATTTGGATCCTTTAATTTTATGTTTTTGTCATTTGGATACTTTAATTTTATGTTTTTGTGATTTTAGTCCTTTAAACTTCTATTTTAGTTTTTTAGCCCTTTTAATTTGGTTAAATTATTATTTTGATCCTTGTAATTTCAAATACTTATTTTTGCTCATTTTATTTCGGTTTGTAATATTTATTTGTTTTCAATTTAGTCCATTATGTATGTGTATACATGTATGTGTATTATGTTAATTTTACTTTACATATTTATATATGTATATGTTGTTTATTACGATATGCTTATTTATTAATTAAATTTCAGTCAATATGCCCTTCTATTATTTTCAAGAACATTCGTCGTAAAATGGGTGTGAAAAGTACCACCTTATGGAGGAGGTGTGATTCAATACAACATTCAAACGAAAGGAAAATTTGAAATAAATCAATTTCTGTTTTACTAATTAATTTGTTTCTATTGTAATTCAAATGATGCAATGAGTATTGTTGTAAATAACAATTTATTTTATTTCATACAAATTATCCGTATTTAATTTATATTCAATTTGTACTTTTTAATAGATGAGGAAATATTTTTTACGGATAAGAAATAGACGAGACAACTTTCTCGATGGAGGATTGTTAATCTCGAAGTTTCTTTTCAAGTTAAAGAATTTTTCCTAATTAAATAATTCAAAGCAAATTAATTAATTTCGATAAATGAATCATATTTTAATTGTCAATGTGAATTCATTATTTTCACCATTTACGACAACGTGTAAGCGACGCAGTACTAATTTTGGGCGTTGTGTGGGTGTTAATCCTTCCCCACGCGTAACCGACTCCCGAACCCGTTTAAATCGAATCTTTGGTAAACGCAGACCAGTTTTCGTCCTAAAAATGATTTTTTTAAGATTGTTTTAAAAAGACGTTTTTAGGTATTCGACCTACCTAACCCAAAGGTCGATGGCGACTCATATTCCTTTAATCCAAATTCCTCAAATTTTCCAAATTAAAGTCATAACTACTTTTAAAATAATATTTAATTGTTTTAAAAAAAATGGTTATGACAATGAGCAAGATAAAAGAATTATTAAACAAAGATATAAGAAATCATTATTATATAAATTTTAACCTAAAACGAAACCTACATGTATAATAAATAACTAAATTCCATTATTTTTATTTTAAAAAAATACAATTACACCAAACCAAACCATCCACATTACCTTATCATGCATAAGTTTTAGACTTAACACAAAATTCAATCATAACCAAGAAAATGAAAGGTCCTGGAAAATCCTATTCTATGTCAGTCAAAGCATATCACTTAGTAAACATCAGTATGCAACCTCATTACCTATATTATCGTGCTCTGAAGAATCAAGCAAAATTTCTGAATCAGAATGAAGAAAAGGAGAACCAGGGTAGTTTATAAGAGCACCTAGATCTGTGATAATTCCAAGGGCCACACATCGTGAGTACAAGCCCAATAAAGAAAAACAACAAATTGAACAATAAAAAGTTTTTTTTTTTTTAAAATGATGCTAGGTTCCTGGAGTGATGGTTTCCAAGGCCAATAATAAAGCAATGCACAAATTATTAAGAACAAAATGTTGAAAAACAGTTACAAAACAATGTGCGTGTGTGAGAGAGAGACACAGAGAGATGCCAAACTTAAAGATAAAATTTTAACTGGATATCTTTAGAGTGAGTGTCATAGCCACAGCTTACCTCCCAGATTTGACAAGTCTGCAGTCAGATCTGTGAGACTGAAGTCCCATTGAATCTGATCAAGTGATCTAAAGGAATCTCTTGAATTCCCAGCTCCATTATCATGTCCAAGCTGCAATCCTACAGAACTTGCCACATCTGTTGTGAAGGCTGAATCAAGTGCTGATGTGTCTACTCTCATCCCTGACATGTCTGATGCAGTGAAGGGAAAACTCCCATTGGATTCCACTGATGTACAGCTCACAGGCATCTCTGATATAGATGATATGGCAGTGGGTGGAGGAATTGCAGGTGTTACACTGACATTGTTGTCCTTCACCATGCTAGAATAAGAAAAACAGTTATCATTAGCATAATCACGAAAAAACAAATTTGGTTTATGAAATTAAAAAAAATCCAGAGATAATGTGATAAGGACTTAATATCTAAACATTAATGAAGAATGTGGTAGCAAAAGTTATTCATGTAGCAAACCTAGGACAGTTTGGGATTAGAGTTGAATAGAATAGAGTTGGTTTATGATAGTGTAGTATAATAGCCTGTCATACATTTTTAGCAAATCTGATCAAGTAGTTACTGAACATCTCAACCAGAAGAAGGCAAGAGAAAGCAGCACATAATAATCAAATCATAAATAAGGAAAGTTAACTGAAAGAAGTTGCGTAACTTATAATATGAGATCATGAAAATAAAGAAAAGCACCTTCAGAATTACCGCTACGTAAATATTTGTATGTTTAGTAGCCAATTAATAGTAGATCGAAACAAAGATTGTTATGTTGAAGTTTCTCACTCTCTCGAAGATCAAGATATCTGGTTGGAGGGCCTGCCATGAAGTGCTGCCCACGAGGATTAAGTTAGCGGCTGCAGAACTGGGTAATAGGTTGTGTCCGATGTGCCAGTAAGAGGAGGAGAATGTGATGCATGCGCTTAGGGACTGTCATCGAATCTAGGACCTCGAGTTGCAAGGAATGGCTCGAGGATTCTGCTTCCAAGTTGGATAGAGATGGTCTCTCGCGGTTTGTAAGGGTCCTTGGAACATTTGGAATCACCAAAACAAATGAATCCACAATAATGATTTTCAGGGGGCTTTTGAGGTAGTTAATGCGACATGGGTGGTCGACATCGATTATAAAGGTGCCTTCTTTGCTAGCACCAGTGAAGCGGCTGCTGACATTGTGGCCCGCGATCACCATGGCATGGTTATTGGCAAGGTGGCGTGAAAGTTGGATACTGCACTTACGATAGAATTGACTGAGGCCCTGACTTTTACGGAAGACATCCGCATGACGATGGAGAACAGATGGGACCAAGCAATAGTCGAAGGGGATACAATCTCCATTTTAAATCGCTTGGCTAACAGAAAGAAGAACGAAAGGAAGCATCAGCACTTTCGATTCAAGAAGAACGAAAGGAAGCATCGACACTTTCGATTCAAAGTGAACGGAAGGAAGCATCGACACTTTCGATTTAAAGTGAACGGAAGGAAGCATCGGCACTTTCGATTCAATTGTTCATCTTTTCATCAAGAAGATTAAATGTCAGAAATGAGTTGTAATTAGTTTTAGAGCTTACTATTATAGTGTGTTCAAGGTTAGAAGAACGGAAGAAGAAGAAGTAGAGAGAATGTTAGCATAATGAGTTAGTGCATGTTGTTTAGTGATTCTAGAAGTTTGTTAGCAGTTAAGGCTGTTAATGTTTAGTTGAGGTTGTTAATGTTTAGTTACAAAGTCTGTTAAGACTATAACAACTATGAAGAGCTGTTTATAAATAGCAGAGGAGTTGTAAACCAGATATGATATTCATTCTCTGTTCAATATACTAGTATTTTGTGTTTCTTCACTAGATATTCAACATGGTATCATTCGCCAAACGGTCCTGACCTTGGTGTTCGTCCGCTGCAATCTCCTTCTCCTCCGTTGCCGCCGGCTTCCGTTTCCAGCGCCGCTTAAAATGGAAGGCCACCGGCGTACGGAGACTAAACCGGTTCATGCTGTCAGACAAACGAAGGGCAAGTTGTTGATTGCCCGTTTCCTTCACTACCACCTCGGCATTAGTTGCCCTGCTGAAATGTACCAAAAATCAGGATGTACTTTGAAGGTCGATCGTGTTTGTGATTACAATTGTTCTAGTTGCAATTCAGTGGAATGCTTCTCCAATTGTTCTTTGTCTTCGAATTCTGATGCTGCTAATGGAAGTAAAAACGAGAGGTTGCATAACTGTCGCTGCAAAGCAAAAGAGTCAAAATCCATGAAAGCTAATAAGGTTGCTTCTTGCCGAAAAGAAAACATAAAAATCCGTTCCGACTTCGATGAGCTTAAGATCAGGAGAACTCGGATGTTCAATTACGAAGAACTTGAGAGGGCCACTGTGGATTTAAAGAAGAATCCGTGGTTGGAAAAGGAAGTTTCTCATGCGTTTATAAAGGGGTATTGAAAGATGGGATTGTTGTTGCAGTTATAAAGGCTATAATGTCTTCAGATAAACAAAAGAATTCAAAAGAGTTCCGCACAGAGTTAGATTTATTGTCAAGATTGAACCATGCCATCTTTTGAATCTGCTCGGATACTGCGAAGAGGGTGGAGAACGGCTTCTGCTTTATGAGTTTATGGCTCATGGATCATCGCACCAGCATCTTCATGGAAATAACAAATCCTTGAAAGAGCAATGGAATTTTTCGGTAAATGGTGTAGCGTAGTATTTTTTTTTGGTCTTGTATAATTGAAAGAACAATAAAGAAGAAAGAAATGAAGGTGAGAAAGAAGAACGAAAGGAAGTATCGGCACTTTCGATTCAAAGTGAACGGAAGGAAGCATCAGCACTTTCGATTCAATTGTTCATCTTTTTATCAAGAAGATTGAATGTCAGAAATGAGTTGTAATTAGTTTTAGAGCTTACTATAATAGTGTGTTCAAGGTTAGAAGAACATAAGAAGAAGTAGAGAGAATGTTAGCATAATGAGTTAGTGCATGTTGTTTAGTGATTCTAGAAGTTTGTTAGCAGTTAAGGCTGTTAATGTTTAGTTGAGGTTGTTAATGTTTAGTTACAAAGTCTGTTAAGACTATAACAACTATGAAGAGCTGTTTATAAATAGCAGAGGAGTTGTAAACCAGATATGATATTCATTCTCTGTTCAATATACTAGTATTATGTGTTTCTTCACTAGATATTCAACACTAACTAACCTGAAGACATTTCGATTATTGATTTTTTACTCAACGAGGCACGCTAGCTTCTTGTAAGGGCACCAAACATGTAAGCTCAATACGTCACTCGCGTGACAAACCGGGTTGCACACACTCTTGCTCATTGGTCCTGGTCGAGAACCAATCTTTTTTTATTTTCTCTTGAAGAACATGAACGTATAAAAAACGATGTAATCTTGATGCACATTTGAATGAATCTACAATTTAAATTTAATTTGTTTTATTTGGATGTAAAACACTCTATTAATCTCAACGAACGGCATTCAATTTATGATTATATCGATTAAAATGAAATCACTCTAAAAAAAATTATTTTTTTTATCATAGCACGGTAGACTAAATTATTTCTTTTGATTTATGTTATAGTCATTATAAATATTTTATTTTGTAATAATGTTTTTTCACCAACAACCGTATGTTGAGCATACATATAAATAATTTTAAAAAATATAAAAAACTATTTGATGTCCAATAGCAATTTTTGATATATAAATACGTTTAAAAGTATAATTTATTTGTAATTTGCACCATAAGATAAATTTTCTAAATGAATGGATGAATATTGGGCCGCCAATTAAAATTTAACCAACTTCTATTCATTGGTCAGATGTTGGGTCTATGGCCCAGGTTCAGTCAGAAAATAAGCGAACGACATCGTTTGAAGCACTCTTTTTACCCTTCCTTTTCTGAAGGCTAAAATCCTATCCCCGTTTCTTTCAAAACCTTTATCCCCTCTGGCCATTCTTTCTTTCATTTTGCACTGAATTTTCGTGTAAACAAATGATTATTAAGTTTATTCCTCAGGTTCGTCTTCTCGGCCATTCTCTACCGGCCACCGGTTTTACGACCGTGAAGCCCGGCTCGACCGTTTGCTTTAATTAAATCGGGTGTTCCCTTTTAAGCTAAAGTTATTTGGCTTATCACCTGGTTCGAATGGGAAACTCAGTGTGCGGAGCCTTTCCACCAGGCAGTCTCGACCGGGGTCCGGGGCAAGCTCCAAGTTCACACCTAAAATCAGAGGAGATGTCCGTGCCTCGAAGAGTCTGATTGAGGACGAGGCCGAGCTCAGTGACTGGGTCGGCGAGTTAAGAACCGTTTCGTTCCGTGGTCGACTCACTAGCGAAGACGAGGAATTGGATGCAGATAGGGAACGCAATAGGGTTATGAGTAGAGATGGGAAGAGGAATGCGGTTCCTGTGAAGAGGAGAAGAGAGAGTGAGTTCGACAATTTTAGTGAGTCTAGCAAGAGGGAGCCTCGGGGTCGGTTGGGTGATTCGTTTTCAAGGAATTCCCGGTTCGGTAAACGGTTCGACAGTGAATTAGTAGACGAAGACAGTGATGACAATGATGAGGAGGATGAAGAATCGTACTCGAGTAGAAAGACTCGCGGCGCGAAAAGAGAAGCTATAAAAATGGATTCACAGAAAGGAAAAAGAAATGGAAGAAGAAATAATTTGGGAAGAAAATCAAACTTGTATGTAGAGGAAGATAGTGATGTTAATGAAGAGAAAAGAAGTTGGAAAATGAAAGGAGCTGAAAATTTTCTTAGTGAGGAAGATAATGATATTAATGATGATGATTATGGAACTTTAAGAAAGAATGCGGGTTCTGCACTGGGGTTAGAGAAGGATGTTAACCAAACAGGGAGTCCTATAAATTCACAAGGGAATTCTGATTCTTATTTGAGTGAAACAAGGTCTGTTTTTTATCAACTTATTGGAGATATTTTATGTTTATTAGGTTTTTGTAAATGTTTGATCTTTTGTTTTGCTTGCAGATTTGATCAAATTTCAATATCTCCCTTGTCCTTGAAGGGAATTAAGGATGCCGGTTATGAGAAGATGGCCGTGGTACAGGAGGCAACTCTTCCGGCAATACTCAAAGGTTCCTTTCCTTTCCTGCATTATTATAATTTATACCAGAATCAGTGATGGGATCTTTGTAGAAACTATTTCTTGTTTTTTTTTTTACCATTGACCACTTTTTCATTATTAATTGCGAGGAAGCTAAAGTGCTGTAAAACAAGCTGCAACCGTGTGGCAGTTCTAGAATTTCCTTTATTTAAGTAGCTTCCAAAGAATAATATATGGAATCGTTAAAAGGTAGCCTGAAATGATTAATCTCTCTGGTTT